AGCTCCACAACCTGCACAAATTTATATATATATATATTATAGCACATCCCTATATAGTATTCAAATGTACTCTCACCTTGCCGGTGAGCAGCGTTCGCGCTGCGGACAGCTCATTGGAGGGCGCCACGTCAAAGTCCTCGCCCAAGGTCTTAATAGCATTCGAGAGGCCTGAGGGCACAGACACGCCCTGCGTATTCTCAGCGCGCACCAAAAACACATACGATGTGGCCGAGGTCAGGTCGGAGATCTGTTGAGCAAATGAGTATGAGTAAGGTATGAATGTATTTGAGAGAGCGATGCTACGACTTACCGTTACTTGGGTATCCGCAATGCGATGGGCGGCTACTATCCAGCCCGTTTGCAGGTCGGGACTAAAGTATTCCACAGAATAGCTAGAAATGTAAAAATAAATTATATGTGAAGTGAATATATAAATAATATAGAAACAAAATACATATGAAATGGCTAAAAATAATAATAATAATACATTATCTAATAAGATCTTAATATAAAAATTTCCTTCAGTTTTTTTAAATTATTATTAATATATTTCTATATACTTTAAAGGATGATTCTTTTTTAATCTTCTGTATTCCATAAACTTTGCTTTCAACACGTTTATCTATATATTTCGTAATATATTTACAAATATTCCCAAGTATCATTCCTCTTTTTCGCAATTCTATAAACTTTTCTCTTATCTACATACTTGTTAATATATTTAGAAATATTCAAAATATTCATTCCTCCTCTTCAATTTTCTTAAGTTTAGAAAAGAATTTAATATTATTTACATATCTCTTCAGATATTTCTAATTATTTAAGCATCTCAGCTAAACTATAGCTTACCCTATGATAGGACCAACAGCGCCTGGTTTCTCTTGGCTCTTGGCCCACCTCAGTGAGATGCTCGTGCGTGTCACATTGATGACTTTGGGCGTGCCTGGTGGGGCGGGATAGGTGCTGGGATCCGCCACACGATGCAGCGTGGCAGAGCTGCTCTTCTCCACCTAATTGAAATATTGAAATATGGAAATAATTAGATATAATAGTTAAAAGGACATTAATCTATAGACTTACTCTCAGAGTAGCAGACCAGCTGGATTCACCACGCTCCGAAGAGGCGGTGCATGTATATAAACCAGAATCACTTAGCTGCAGATCTGTTGAAGTAAAAAGAGCAAGTTGAGGCACTTATTTTAAATAGCTCTCTATATATGCTAGGCATACCATCTATTCGTAGGGAGCTGCCCTGAACGATGCTGTGACGATTGCTCGTCTGCACTGCGTAGCCATCGTGGAACCATTTGACCCGTGGCGTCGGATTGCCCGTGGCACGACAAGGCATTGTGGCGACGGAGCCCTTGGATAGCGTTTGATTGGCGGGTCCAATTTGTATGATGGGCGGCGGGCGTTCATCGACCGTGCTGACTTGCAGATAGACGCGCACGGTGGCTGAGTCAACGACACTGAAAGCGGAGCACATATAGAAGCCCTCGTCATCCTGCTGCACATCGTTGATCTGCAGCGTGCCATCGGCTGAGATGTGCTGTCGTCCATGCGAGCTGTTTGGAAACATGAGCGTAGACACGCCCTCCTTGGTCCAGAACACAGATGGCGGCGGATTGCCTGTGGCCACACAAGGCAGCTGCACTTGGCCATTGAGGCCGACTTTCTTATTGGTCGGTTTCTTGGAGAAACTTGGCGGAGCTGTGAAGCAGAAATTGCAGAATTAGCTAAGGCAATCAGATGAAACCATAGATGAAGCGGCGTACCGTGCACGGTGAGCGTGGCTCGGGCGCTGATCTGGCCCACATTGTTGTGCGCCTCACAGACGTAGGTGCCCTCGTCGTTGGGCGTTATGTTGCTCAGCTCCAGACTCTTCTCGTCGTGCAGGATGCGTGCCCGAGAGACCGGAATGTTGCCTTCCTCCTTCTTCCACAGCACCTTGGGCGGTGGATCACCGCCGACAGAGCAATGAAACGTCGCCGTCTGGCCATAGACCATGGTCAAGTCTTTGGGCTCCTTCATGAAGTATGGCTTGATCTGGACAATCAACTTGGCGTAGCTGGATTCGCGCGAGCCCAACAGATTCTGGGCAATGCACTTGTAATTGCCCTCATCGATGGGCTCCACGTTGCTGATCAGCAAATTGCCACCATCCACGATGCGGACGCGTGAGCTGGTGCTAAAAGGTTTCGAATTCAAGTCATCCAGTGGAACGCCATTCTAAAAACACAAGAGAGAGAGAGAGAGAGAGAGAGGCACAACATGTGAAAACTGGGACACGTATTGCTTAAGATTTGCTTTTGGCTTGCCTTCATCCAGATAATGGTCGGCTCTGGTATGCCTTTGGGCGGCCCACATTCGAGCAGCGCCGTCTCGCCTTTGGCCACGCGCGTATCTTTGGGCTCCACGCGAAAATCGTCGCGCAATACTGCAAGCAAAGAAACAAACAAGGTGTCAAACATGTGGCGAGTGTGGGTTAACAAGTTGGCGGTGGTTGTGGTGGTTGAGGTTGTGGTTGCTTACCAGCAATTTGGAGTGAGGCATGTCGACTGACGGCTTTGCCCACGTGGTTTTTGGCCACACACCAGTACTCGCCGCTGTCCTGCTCCTTCTTGCTCTGCATGGTGCGATAGAAGAATAGAGCGCCGTCTTTAAACAAAACCCGATGCGATTTCTTTTCATTCGTATTGACCGGTTCGCCATCCTATATGGGAATGCACATATTATATATAGTATACAGTTGATAGTTTATACATATATTTGATTAGTTAATCTACCTTATACCACTCAATGGTGGGCTCCGGCTTGCCCTCCACTTTGCAATTGAGCGTGGCGGGTTCATTCTTCTTGACGACCAAATCTGTGGGATGCTCAATAATGCGTGGCGACTGATATTGAGCTGGGAAGAGATCATGCATACATATATATATATATCAATATTTGTACATTTTGAGATAATTGCATATGCATGTGGCTTAAATGGCTTTACCTTTGGCTGCGGGCAGCGCTAGGGCCAGCAACAGCAGCAGCAGCAGCAGTTGATGCAGTGGTTGCTGCCTGGGCATATTGTTTATGTTTGATGCTGAATGATAGTAGTTAGTGCTCCAGATGTAACGATGTCGATGTCGATGTCGATGTGATGCTGATATATACATATGCATATGTATATTACATATATATAGATATTGCGCAGTTGTGAGTGGTGGCAATCATTTTTTTTTGTATATCTTTCTTATATGTATATATTATTTATCTTTGCTAATGGCATGAAAAATGGCAAAGAATGTGACAGCTGTTAGTTAAGGGGGAAGCACAATAAACATACATATGTGTATATATTTGTAATATAATGTATGCTATAAAAGTATGCTTACTAGTAATTAAAAATAATTATATTTTATTATTCATTCTTAATATAAACTGGAAGCATACATAGCATATACTTGTACTATACAGTATGTCATAAAAGTATGTAAATTTAACTATTAATTTGATAAACAAAAACCATATGTATATATTTTCAATATTCAATGTGTCATAAAAGTCTATTTACTAGTAATTTTTTATTTTATTTATTTTTAAGCACTTAAATTTTTCATTAATCTTTTTGTTCGCACACTTTTACAACATACTGTATGCATCAATGTGCTGTATATTTGTGGGCGTGAGAGGCGTGTCGGCATTTGCATACAATGCAAAGTATTTGACAATTACAAACCTCTATTCCAATTTCACTCGTTCTATCTGCGTCCACTTCAGTTTTGATTCTGCTTTTTATCTTCGAATTTGTGTGTTGAATATTATTATTCTTCGATGCCTGCTCCAGTTAGATTTCCATGCAGGCAGCTCGAGGCGCCCAAAATCGAAGGCGACGTCGACGTCGACGACAATGACGACATATGCATATATAGATAAGCAATGCAGAGCACTCAGCGCGCAACACCAATAAAATTATATATACTTATTTGTGTCTATGCTTTCCCATTAATTTGGTTGAGTTCTTTTTTTTTTTTATTTCTGTATTTATCTCTCTTTATGTTTATCTCGCCAGCGCCTACGGCGACGGCGTGGCCCAAAAAGTAGAAGAAAAAGACAGAATTTACAATCCAAATGCAGCGAGGCGAAGTTTTGATTTTGATTGCTTTTTCGATTTTATTAAGAGTTTCTCACACTTTCTTTTCACTCACTTCGTATCGTATTGTATTTATTTTCGTTGTTATTTTTATTATTAATCACAAAACAAAAAACTTTAAATCGTAACTAAAACGATTTAGCGTTGCGTCTTCTCTCTCTCCCTCTCGCTGTCTCTGTCCTTTTTAGCTTGTTGTTTTTGTCTTTTTAGTCGTTTGCGTTTTTGGGGTTGTTTCTCTTTCTCAGCCTCATTTCCGCATTTTCCGAATGAAATTTCTTTTTGGTAATTTTACAAGAACAAGAACATGCTCCTGCTGTTTCAGCCGTTCATCAGTTCACCGACCACCGTTCCCGTTGCTATTGCCGTTCCAACTGCCAGGCCAGCCTGCTGCCTGCCTGCTGGCTTGTTGTTGTATCTATAACAGTGCGTAGCGTACGTATAAATATATACACATACACATTCATGCACTCTCTTACATGAACACGCACACACGCACGCACGTACACTTTGGTTTCGGTAGATACACAGATGTAAGAAAACACATCCGATTTTTACACCCGAAATGCGGGTTTGATTTTGATATTTATTCACTTGTCCATTGCATTTAATTTGTGCGCTGAATTAAACAGCAGCTGCAATTAACTTTTATTAATTATTCTCTCACTATTCTTTGTGTTTAAGTCAATTTTTGTGTAAGCAGCTACTGGACGTGGGTTGTGTCTGTGGAAAACTGCGGAACAATGTGAATGTGGAACGAAAGAAAACAAAAAATACCACAAATCACCATGCTAGAGATCTGGCAGCACTGCTTGCGCTGCCATAACGTTGGGTGTGGCGCCAAAATCAAAATATTGTAAAATTAGACAATTTTATATTGATTCATTTATTTTTTGAAAGATATTAATGTAGTCAATGTTATTTTTTATAAAATGCGTAGATTTTGATGCCGCACTTCTTGATTTGCAGAATCATATATTCAGATAATTTTCTTATTGGGGTTTGCCTTCAACCATCTGGCAGCCTTGCAGGCGACACCCGGCGCCAAAATATAAAAGTTCGTCAAGACTTAAAATTTTTTAATGAATTTTATAAATCAGCTTAGGAGGACTTCAATATATTTGGATCTGATGTAGCAGAAGCTTGCACATTTATTTTGGAGAGTTTACGAGATTGTTTCCCAGAAGATGTGCCACTACATAAAGGCTCGTCCATATCATCGACGTTATTTAATTGGACGCATTCGTGACAAACAATACGTCCACGATAGGTAAAGTTATTCAATTTCGGCTCTGATTGGATCATTGGACTGTATAGTGGATCATCCGTATTTTGCGTTATGTCGGCTGTATCGTTGCCAATACATTCGGGGCAAATGTTGTGCTTAACGCTGCCAATGTGGCACGGGCTGAGATCGAGACATCGCTTGAGCGGCATGCTCAGGTAATCTGTCGCGGTGCGCGGTGGCTTTTTCTTTCCATTCTTCAAGTTGCAGGTCAACTTCACCCAGGTCATGTCGTCCTTCTGCTGGCGCGCTATTATCGCCTTTCGTATCTCAGCTATCCGTCTGCCGGAAGACATCAGCTCCGTATAGAGCTTCCGGCAGCTGTTGGCCAAATTCGCTTGGGTATAGACGATGGCATTGGTACCAGTCAGCTCACCAAACGCCTGCGGTGGGCAGCGACATAGTGAGATGCACTTGATAATGTTGCGATTACGTTGCATTATTTCGAGTTGAACTTAAGCTGGAATTTGGACCACAACCAAAACTGAATTTTCCATATGCTATTTTGAGTCTTATAGCTATAAAATTTTTGTTTTTGTATTTTCCTTATTTTTTGCTTTTTTATGTTTGTAGTTGTCGTGCCTAGGCCTCCTAAGCTCTAAGCTTGGCCAGCTGAGGTTTGCCCCTGACTAGATTACGTGAACGTATCAGATTCGATATGCCTGCCTCGCAGCTCGGCACATGTGCTCCAATTGGACGTGGGGCTGGACGTCGCCCACCTGCCACAGCGCTCTTCACCTGCTTCGGCTGCAAGCGCAGCTGGGTGACCCGATCCACGGACATGCTCTTGGGTCGACGCGACAGATAATCGTGGATGTGGCTATTGGAGCCGTTGGCTATGTTCAGATCAATCAGATAGTCCTGCAGCTCGGCCTTCAATTTTGCATTTTCTGCCTCCAAGTTGCGTTTCTGCTGCTTGAGGCAGGCCACGTCGACGGAGACATTGTTGACGCGTCGCCAAAAGGTTTCCATTTGTGGCAAGGCAGCTACTTCCTCCTACAAAGAAAATTCCATTGTACTCCGGTTAGCTGTTTATGGTCTGCTTACCTTGAGTGGATCATTAGATAAGTGAGAGTCCTCCTCTCCAGGTGTTTGCAGCTCACGTATCTCTATTATCTCTTTGGAGAGCTGAGGCAGCTGAAACAGTTTCTCTCGCTGCGTTTCCATTTTGGAGCAAATGCGCGATAGCTGGGACAAAGTTTCTACTTTGCTCAGATGTGCCTTGAGTGTCTGGGGGAGATTATATACAGAGATAGGATGATAATAATTGAGTAATTAAAGTATACATCTCTATTTCTTCTATTTCACTCTCTCTCTCTCCCTATTACTCCCTCTCTCTCTATTCACCTCACCCACCTGTATAGCTTCATAGCTCTCCACGGTCATTTCCTTGAATAGCCTGTGCTGCTCCTCCACCTCCTTTTCGACGTAGCTGCGCAACTCTCTCAGCCGATCGGTGAGCTCCTGTTTGATGTTTTGCCTCTGGTGCAGCTGTGCCTGCTGCTTGATTTGCTGCTCCTCGGCGAGCAGTCGGAGATTGCAGAGCTGATCGATCAGGTGCTCGATCTCGTAGCTTTGCTGACTTATCTGCTGGGCGCTCTCCTCGTCGCGCTGCTTCAGATCCACATACTCCGAGTAGAAGCCCTCGATGTGCTTCCCATAGTCGGCTAGCACCGATTGATATTCCTGCCACAAGGCCTCCAGCTTGCCCTCGCCGCGGCTCGTAATCTTCTCCAGCTTCAATTGCATCTGTGATTTGATGGGAATTATGTAATATTCTCTGTGTGCCGTTGGCCCATTGTGTGCCAGTCAAGCACGACGTCCATTAGTCCGTCAGCTGTCAACAGTCGCTGGCTATAAATGTCGACAGCAGCTCAGAGCTGCTCGGCAAACAGTTCTTGAGATGCGCCTGCTGCTGTTGCTTTTACTCAGCTTTAGCTGCAGCATCAACTGCCTCAAGTGTCGCTCGCAGGATGGCGCCGGCGATGCGGAGCTGAAGCGGATTGTGCGCACTTGCATGCAACGCAGTGGCAGCAACGGCAACCAGGAGGACAACGACAATAGACGCTATGGCAATGGCAATGGCAGATACAATTTTGATAACGATGATTATGGACAGGCTCAGGATCGAGGCCAGGGCCAAGGCAGACAGCAGCAACAACAACAGCAGCAGCAGTCCTATGGTAATTCCTGGCAGCGCAGCGTTAAGCAAACTGACAACAACAACAATAATAACAACAACAACAGCAACACATCTGAATCGGGCGGCTGCGTGGCGCTGTGTTTCTTTGAGGAAATGAACATGGTAAGTCAGCTGCAACACTATTTAAGTATATAATGGTACATACATACACATATACATTTGTACATACATATGAATACTATTTGTCATGAATTCGTCTTCTTCCTTTAATGTTCTCATTCGCTAACTGACTCAACAAGCTGAGCCATGTTGTTCTCTCTTTCTTTAAAGCTTTCATTCACCTTACTCTCACCGCTCTTTTAAATATGCAAGCTGAGCTCCTTAAGCCTAGTGCGCTTAAAAACGTAGGTCGATCTCTCTGTCTTTTAAGCGGTTGCTCAAGCTTCCATTTTGTTTTACTTACTCTCGCCAAGCTCTCCCATACTTATACAAGTCGAGCGCCTTAAGTCTAGTGCGCTTGAAAAGGCAGGACGCTCTCTCTCGCTTTTAAGTAGTTACTCAAGCTTTCATGCTGTTTTTCTACTCTCACTGCGCTCTCAAACATACGTATGTATGCAGAAAGAGCATAAAGCTATTTTCGTTACTTTTGCAGCATTGCAGAATTTTCAGAGCACTTGCCATATTGCTTAGTGTATATATAGAGAGTATTAAACTGCGCTCCCAAATGGTTGTGTGCATGTATGCAAACCGCATACTCACTCTCATTCTTTCCCTTTTGAGGGAAAAGGCAGGCAAAACTGTTAAAACTGTTATATTCATATATTTGTATATGCGTATGTACACACATGCATATGCATGTAGTGTACATTCTGTCTAACGATTTCTCTCTTTAGGTGGATGGCAGTGGTCAGCCTGATCGGCGCAAGGTCAGCTACTTGCTGACAAAGGATCTGCGCGATCGCGAGCTGCGCAACTTCTACATGGACACCGTGCAGCAATGCTTTCGCTACATAGAGCACTCCCGCTACAGCAACAACAACAGCAACAACAAGTGCAGCCAGGCAAGGGAGCTAGTCAAATGCATGTCCGAGTATGCCAAAGCGCAATGCGATGACTGGGAGGAGCATGGAAATATGTTATTCAACTAAACTCTTGACCCGTTACTTACGCCGCTCTTCAGATCCTCCACACGATCCAGATAGTCTTCGTGGTTGTCCTTGATAGTACGATCGGCGGTCTCCTCTAGCTGATAGAAAACGCACTCGAGTTGCTGTTGCTTCTCCGCCTGCAATTCCTTATAGATAGCCGCATCCTGTTTATATTCACGCAGTACCGCCTGCTTGTCGTCCTCGTAGATGCGCCAGAAGAACTCTATGCGACTGCGATGTATGCCTGGTAAAAGGGAAGCACTTTTATTAAATACTATGTAGATATACAATATGAATATTAAAGATATAGCTCACCAATAATATGATCAATGTTCTCCATATGCGACTGCTGCAAGTTGGCGTACATATCCTCCGTGGAATTGATATCGCCTATTAGACGCTGTATGACCTGATCCTTGCGCTTCAGCGCCTGCTCGAAAAACTGCGCCACATCGAGAATTTCCCGACGCAAATCCTGAATTTTCACCTGTCGCAATATGGAACGCCATTCCTGATTGATTTTGGCCATATTCAGGCGACAAAATGCATCCTCGCGCTTTAGCTTGTTCTGCACGGATATATACGGTTATGGGCTTAACAATACCTAGGGTATCTGTCATTCGTTACCTTCATGTACATCGCTATTAGCTGCATTTTGCGGCGCCTCGTCTCCTCCTCCATGTCGGCGCGCATTTGTAAATATCTGGCCCGCTCCTCCTCGGACATTTTGGCCAGCTTATTGCCTTTGCCTTTACCCTTTTTGCCCATCTTCAAGTGTTTCTATTAATTGCTATTTGACGAAAGCTGCTTATCAAATTTCAAAGGCCAGTTGGTTCAACTAATTGAGCGCACCAGACTAGAGGTCAGACTGAACAGAAAAAATTGTACAAAATAAATGAATGAAAATCGAAGAAAGAAAAACAAAAAAACAAGTTGCTGCCATGACGACCTTCACGCCTCCCCTCACCTGCCCCGGTTGTCAAGGGGTTGTTCATCATTTTTAATGCTCAGCATTTGAGCGTGCATTAAATTAACGATTCGTACATTTCAAAGCCCATTAGGGCACTGACAACTGATGCGGGCTGTGACGGAGCTGACACTATAAATGGGGCCCATCCAGTGGGCAGCTTCAGGTTAGTAACTAGCATGTGGCGATTTATATTTGTATTGGCTCTGCTGCTGGTAAGTCCAAATCTTGCTTTTATATATTTTATATACCGCCCTGCCACGCCCCCACAGGTGTACACTGCGCTGGGCATACGCGTGAATTGCCGTCACATGGAGCGCATTCACGAGGATCACATCCATTACTGCTGCAAGCATCCGGACGGCCACAACGACGTCAGCGAGCTCTGCGCCCAGAAGACCAACTTTAAGCTGCCCTCGAAGACGGAGGAGGCCATGGAGGATAACACTGTGGATGCCGTCATGACCGGCAATTGCTGGGCCAAATGTGTCTTCGATCATTATAAATTCTTGGTCAACGACACCCTGGACATGCTGGCGGTCAGGAGTCACTATAAGAGCGTGCACAGATTGGATCCGGAGTACGAGACTGAAATGCTGGCGGCTTTTGACGAATGCCATTCGAAAGGTAAGTGGAAGAGACCCAAATCGGATAAGCATATATATATTGGTGTCCATATATTGCTAGCTGTGGAGGCAACATCTGTCTTCCTCTCGATGCCCATCGTACGCGCCTTCAGCAGTGCCAATGTGTGCAAACCCCTGTCGAGCGTCATCTTGTCCTGTGTGATTCAGACGTTCTTCCATAACTGTCCGAGAAGTCGCTGGTCCAACACCACAGAATGTCTCGAGACTCTGGCGTTCTCCAAGCGGTGCAAGGATGTGCTAACCACAATGTGAATGAAGGAAACTGAAAAACTAGCATTAAATTCTATATATCTATATACTGGAATTATATGAAAAGATCAGCATATATACATATGCATAATGCTTCAAGAATGCGGAAAAAGCAGCTACATAAGAGAGGTTAAATAAGCCACAGACTAAAAGAATCTGAGAGCTAAAGAAGAGTGGGCCTGCACTCTTTGGGTTAGAGAAGATCAGGACAAAATACAATATAAGAATTTGGTAGTAGATGGCAGGAAGAATTTTATATGGCTTAAAGCTGCTTAGATTCTACTGTTGTTGGAAGAGCTTGATCCGCAGATATTATGAATTTTTTAATTGTTAGGGAATTTGTTGAAAGAATAGATTGACGATATTTAAAGACGACGATGGGAAGATAAGTTAATACATCTTAGAGAGAGATATCCTAAAGTCTTTAAAAGGTTAAGTACGGATATTCATCTAGATTTTCGTAGATTAAGTCAGGATAAGAACTAAACTTGAACATCAAGCAAACAAAATATACTTAAGATCATATTTTATTATCAAATATATGTGCATGAAAGATCATATTAATATTGAATCAAAAAACTGTAATTATTAATTAAATTTTATATTATTAGTATTTTGTATTAAATCATTTATTTGTGAATCCAAAATTCCATTTACAAAGTAGCCAAAGAATCGCGACAATTTTGACTGAAAGCCAATAGATTTTCGCACTCCTTTGTTTTGGCCCAACGATCCTTGGGACAATTGTGAAAGAACTGACGTATGACACAGGCCATAATGACGCTGGATTTGGGTGCACAGTAGTGCTGGGACATGTGGACAAAGACATGATTCGACATGAACTTGGCGACATTCTCCTCAGCTAAAAGAATATAAATTATATATAGAAATACATATATCTTGATTCAGATTAAGTCTGCTTACATTTGCCATGACAGTGATCGAAGGCGTTGATCATTTCTTTGACATATTCCGGATCCTGGCTGAACTTCTCATTGAGATACTTCTTAACAGAGTCCATGTCCAAATTGTCGTCCTTCATGACGTTCATTTTCTCGAAGACGCACTTGGCAAAACAGGTGCCCGAGATGGCACGTGTGGCCGTCAGATCCACCAGGGATTGCTCCTTGGCACTTGGCATCTTGAAGCCCGTCTCCTTGGAGCAGCTATCAATGATGTCGCTGTGGCCATCGGGATGCTTGCAGCAGTAGTGCACATGATCCTCATTCACGGCATCCGTTTTATCGCAATCAATCTCACCTGCTCTGGCGTACTGTAGATGGCGCTAATTTTTATACAAAATATTGAAAATCAAACAGAAATTCGCAGCTTACCCAGACGAGATAGAACAGTGCAAAGGTTCTTAGCAGAAACATTCTGTTGCGCCGCAGCTTGATCTCATGGTTCCGTTGGGGTCTTTATATAGCCACCTCTCCGGTGATTTCGCAAATATTGCCTTAAATGAGGCTTGAGTGTGTTAATAGATCAGGGGACTAATGGATTTGTTTATGTTGCGAGCCATTACACAACTGGGGCTGTAATTGTGCGTTACATTTAATTAAGCAAGTAAATTGTAATTAGATAATGTAATTAGTTTTTACAATTAAAAATCCGAAATGTTATAAAGTTGAGTGTAGACCCAGACTCCATTTCATTTAGCCTAATAATGCGTTACCCAATATTCCTCTCGCTGCTGCTGCTGCTCCCGTTGCTTGGCCTGGTCCAGGCGCAGGACATCTCTGAGGAGGAAGTGGCGGAAGCGAGTCCCATCGATAATCTTACGCTGGATCAGTGCGACAAAAAGGTTAGCAGCTACATCTTATACAAGTCCACATACTGAATAGCTCCACTTCAATGCTAGCGCAGGGGCTGCTGCTCCGATTTGTACCTGGGCGATGATGAGACGCTCATGAAGTGCTTCTCCATACACTCGGATCGATTGCCAGCCGAAGGTGATACGGATATGAGCAAGACCCTCAAATTTCTATCGGTTCGTATCTAAAATATACAATTTAAATGTATTTTATTTGTATTTTTATATGTATATATTTATCTGTTGTTTATATGTATATACCCCTATAGGCTTTATCAGATTATAGATTATATCCTGAGCTCATCTAGATTGCTGAGGACTAAGCAGGTCCTAAAAACTATAATTATTCTTGATTATCATAGGAAGCTGAATCAGTCTATCCATGTTTTCCAGTCTATCGAGTTTTCCGTTTATCTGTTTTCCGATCTACCTTTCAGTCTGTCCATATATCATTCTATATAATATCATCCGTAATAAGCTATGCGGATTCTTTAAGGTAGAGGCATCAAATTTCGATCCTATATATCTGTGATGAACACACAGCAAAAGGAATGTAGATCATACGAGTATTAGGAACGGAAGATTTCTTTTTCTTGTATTTGTATGCAAGGGGTATCTGCCAGTCGGGCACACTCGACTTTAAGCACTATTACCCATATTCTGCTACCTTTCAGTGCTTCGTCGAGTGCCTCTACAAGCAGCGAAAGTATGTGGGCAAGAGCGATACGATCAACATGAAGATGGTAAAGCTCGATGCGGAGATTCTATATGCAGATCGGCCCAAGGAGCAGGCGTACCACATCAAAATGTTTGACTATTGTCGCAAAGATGGTGAGACAGTTCAATAGCCTTTCATACTTACTAGCCATATGAGCCTTCAATAAATAACTTTCTGCCCAGCTATGAATCTGTACAATTTGCTGAAGGCCAGTCCGGGCGCCAAGGCTATGCTGAAGAATGCCTGTCGACCCTTCCTCCTGATGGTGTACCTCTGTCAGTCGGAGTATCACAAGAAGCACGAATGCCCGTACTTTCGGTGGGAGGGCAGAGAAAAGTCGAACACCAAAAAGTCGTGTCACGATGCAAAGATCAAGTGCTATGAGCTCGACGGAGTTCCGGCGCCTGTCGAGCACTAGGATATGCAGGAGCTGTACTACCCATCAAATCGAACACACTGTGTATACAAAATAATAAAAAGTAAAACTGAAAAAAAACTCACTTTATTGTTCGATCGACACATATACACATCCAAATACATATATACATATACACAGTTTCCATAAATACATACATAGACATCAATACAAATGTACTCAGTGCGTAGCGCCACCAAGGAAAATGCGCAAGAACTAACACTGCTCATCCATGACTCGCATGTTAAGTGGTTTGGCAACAAGCGCATCAAATATGACGTCAAGGAGTCCTTCAAGGCATATCAGACCCATCGTCTGATCGCCCTGCGGGACGATAGCATCGTGGCCTTCGCGGAGTTTCGCAACTATCCGGCAATCGGTCCCTTGCCCAGCGACAATTGGTTAGACTGGCTACTCCACAGATATTGGTAAAAGATGAGCAACAAAAACAAATATTATTCTATTCACCTGACTGACAGATAAATATGTGTATATGTATACATACATACATACATATATGTGTGTATACTATATACATTTGTCACGGCCTGCTTCGTATAGCATTACAGTGTCTATCAGCTGGCTGAACACCCTGTTCTTTACATTTTGCATCTACCGCGAGGATGAACCCGAATCGCTGCTCGCCCTGATCCGCGAGGTGTTCTATCGCGAGAATCGCCTGTTGTACTTGATAGCCGTTCGCATGCCCTATCTGGCCAAGCATACGCACTACATTGAGCACTTCGATGACCTGGCCAAGTATTGTCAGATCTTCTATCCGCGCGAGTTTAGCATCGAAAGCAATGCGAATACCCAATCCGTTTTCATTGTGAAACGCTATGGCCTCCTGCCGGCCATCACGTATCGCAAGGCACTGTAAATACCCTACGATTTATTAGATATCTATCGATCTAAATTCTAACCGATCTCAGCGCCGAGGATAACGACGATATTGTGGAAATGCATTCGCGTGAGCTGCCCGAGATGCGAGCGGCTCTGGGCGATTTCTACATAGCCGAGGAGCTAATGCGCACGGACGAGGATGCCAAGAATTCGGTGATAATTGTCACGGAGATACAAAACGAGAATCACGAATCGATGACTGCGGGATTCATGTGGCTGAATGCGAACGTCGACATACGCTACTACGTGCGGAACTACGAGATGGAAATGTTTGGCAATCTGCTCAGTTTTAATCCCACCAAGCCAAGTGGCTTCGAGGAAATAACCGTCATGTGAGCGATTTATCACATTTCTCTTATATAAATATGCATCACTATAATTGAGCACCTATGCAGGTGGACGGAGCGCACTCCGGAGGCCCAGCTATTCACAGCCGCTGCCATGCATGAACTGTGTGAATCGACCTTTCTCGGAGGCATCCAGAGCAATGGCAACAGCACGAGGTAATTACGTTGTTACAACTACGCTTATATACCCTGTAATTAGCTGTCTACTACTATTACTACAACTACTGCTACATTTTCGACTAGTACTTCTATTACTACTACTATCATTACTGCTACTACTATTACAATTACTACTTCTATTACTACTACTACCATTACTGCTATTACTATTACTATTACTACTTCTACTACTGCTATTAATACTTCTACTACTATTATTATTACTGCTACTACTATTACTATTACTACTTCTACTACTACTATTACTACTTCTACTACTACTATTACTGCTTCTACTACTACTATTATTACTGCTACTAGTATTACTGCTACTACTATTATTACTGCTACTACTATTATTATTACTTCTACTATTATTACTGTTACTACAATTATTATTACTTCTACTATTATTACTGCTACTACTATTATTATTACTACTACTTTTATTACTGCTACTACTATTATTATTACTTCTACTTTTATTACTGCTACTACTATTATTATTACTACCACTATTATTACTGCTACTAATATTACTATTACTACTATTACTACTACTATTATTAGTACTACTTCTACTATTATTATTACTACTACTACTCTTATTACTACTTGTTATTGTTTCTACAATTCTTTTATTTACTTATTTTATTCCCGCAGTACGACTAGTCTAGGCAAGATCAGGATTAGCTCGATCGATGGCAATATTCTTGATGTACCCAAGAAGGCGAGCATCGACAAGTTCTATGCACATGAATATCTATATCTTAAGTTTAGCTATATCTTCGAGAGTAAGTGAGACCAGTGATAACAGAAGCTCTCCAGTCTCATCGTCATACATACCTTCGCAGAGTTCGGCACGCTGCACTACTATATCAACAAGCACGATAAGGTTGTTAATTTGTTTTACAATGTGGACCCAAAAAATCGGAAAAAGGACGGCCTACAGCTATCCTCCAATGTCTTCGAACTGCGATTCATTTGTGTGAGCAACGATTTCCCCTTGCCGCGTCTCTTCAACTGCCTGAACGCCATGTACTCGGCGTTTCCAGATCGCGACTATTGCATCATGGCCATACCAAAGACCGCCACTGCATTGCGCAGTCATGTAGAGGCGCTCAAATACTTTATGGCAAGTCGGCTTAAGCTTAAAATCCCAAAATGAATATTCGTATTCACTTCTAACCCTGCCTAACTCACAGCCCGTGGCGCAGCGCCCGACTGAAGTGACCAATTTGCAGGATATCTTCATAACGCATCGTAGCACTATCTTTGGAGAGATTAGGTGGGTGAATGCTTGTTCATGAAATGAAATGAGTCTATCTTGCTCGCCATCTAACTGCACATGTGTCTGTCCATTCGGCAGTCCCTTTGCCCGTCCGTTCGTTCATCCGGCCGTTCGTTCGTCGTCCGTATGATATTTTGAATGTATATTACCCGTGTAGTACGGTTCTATTAGGCCGTCCTATAGACATATTCCCAATGGGATAACTTTTACTATAAAGCTAGACTATTATGAAGTCTGAACGAGTATTGTAAAGTCGGTTGTGCCCGACTGAAATGCTTTTACTTCTTTTAGCTTATTTCCATTGCAAAGCGAAGACATCGAACTGATTATGGATATGTTCCGTGATGTGAGTAAGCCGGCCCATGAGAGATTGTTCTCGTCGACCTCGGTCAGTTTCGCGTACAACTCGAAGATCAATGCTTTAGCTGACATTGACAACGAGATTCTGGTGATAAAGCAGATAATGGCCGATGTGCTGAGCAATGAGAACAGCGAGTATAATTTCTTCACCATACGCTGTGGCAATTCGACCAAATCGGTCCATGAGAACACGGCCGTGGGCTATGTGGTGTTGCGTAAGTATCTGAATCGTCACGAGCTGCTGTATCATTTTCACTTGCCCAACAACGATCCCCACTTGGAGAACGAGCGGGCCGAGATCATCTCACTGCGTTTGCATCCACTCTATCACAATTGCTGCGATGTGATCTTACGCAATCTGGCGGCCAAGACGAACTACTACGATTTCTATTTCATATACGCACGTAATGTAGGATTATATATATGTACTAATTACTGTTACGATTATTGACATTAATTATTGGCCGTTTGTAGCGATTTCTTTTTAGCAACGATCTAAAGTCGATGATGATGCAAATCGAGCCTAGTCCTAAGAAGAAGAGCTTCTTCAAACGGAGGCAAACCAAGACGGTGGGTCCCACCTTTGAGGGTCTGCCCGAGCTGGATTACTTCAACGATCAGCTGGTCGTCTTTCGCCACAAGCTGAGTCCTACGCAATGGTTCGGCAAGAACACCCGGTTGGTCGTACTTGGTTTCACGCCTGTGGCCAGGGCCTTTTTGCGCCAGCTCGTCTTTCAGTGGAATACTAAAGAGTGAGTGCACAGCGAGTACTTTCTGAATCCTTTCTCTATCTATGCATCTGACTAAACATCTATGCATCTATCTATCCATCTATCTCTCTATCTTTCTATCTATCCATCTATCCATCTATCCATCTATCCATCTATCCATCTATCCATCTATCCATCTATCCATCTATCTATCTATCTATCTATCTATCTATCTATCTATCTATCTATCTATCTATCTATCTATCTATCTATCTATCTATCTATCTATCTATCTATCTATCTATCTATATATATTTATCTATCTATCTATCTATCTATCTATCTATCTATCTATCTATCTATCTATCTATGTATCCATCTATCCATACATCTATCTATCTATCTATCTATCTATCTATCTATCTATCTATCTATCTTTCTATCTATCTATCCGTCTTTGTCTTTCTCATTTATCCATCTATCTAACCATCGATCTATCTCTTTTCTCGGCAGTCACTCCAACTCGGAGTCATTTACGTGTCTGCCACGCTTACAGGTGACAGTCATAGCAGCACCTGGCCTGGTCGAAGCTGAATATGATTGCATGTTCCAGTGTTCGCATTGCGAGTCGCGCAAGCACTGCTATATGCACTGTCAGAACCATTCGTGTTACGTGCGTGACACGATCAAGCGCATGGATCTGCGGCTGCGCATACACTTTGTGGCGGGACACATCGACTACATCAACAGGTGAGACTTGTGCTATGAAGAGAATCCGTTATCCACTAGAATCCACCTCTAATCTACGGCAGGGAGCGCAAATATGTGAAGATCAATCAGACCTGCGACGTGCACTACGATACGTTGCTGCTCATGAACTACAAATTCTTCAGTCTAACTATCCAAGGCTTGCATCTTTCCGTGGTGCCATGCAATTTCATTGAGATCAACAGTCGCCTGGATAAGTTCCTGCTGTTCTATAAGCTGCGCGTGTTGAACGAGGACCGGAAGCGTCAGTACAAAATCATCGTGTATGGCACCAACTTGAGTACCTATGAAGGCATCGAGTTTCTCATGTCCCATGGCGTTGCCCCGGAGCGCATTGTGCTCGTTCAGCCCAAAGTAAAAATTGGCACCGAGGAGGAGCAGAAACTGAATTGCCCCTATGTTGATCAGAATCTGCAATATTTACTCGACGAAATGCTGGAGGATCTGGGCATCGTCATACACAGAGATCTCACTCTGACCCACTGGGAAACGAATGATATGAAAGACTACATCATTGAAGCGATCTTCACCAGCTTCAAGTTCAATAAGACAGTTACATTCGATTGTGATCTATTTATATCGTTCAAGGACGGCTACATGGATTTTGCGACTCTGCATTGTAAGTGAACCATATATATATATATATATATATATATATATATATAAATAATTGCTTATACGTTCCGATGTAGCGCTGAGGAAATCGAAAATCACAGTGAAAGATGGCATGGTAGTGGTTAATAAGAACTTTCAGACAAACGATCCAAATATTTACGCTGCTGGCAGGTTTATCAAGATGATTGATAATATCAATCATCAGTATCAGTACACAAACGCGATGGAGACTGCGAAAAAGGTTTGATTGATTGATAGGTTCAAAATCGGAATTAAATACCTCTTTGTTCTGATCTCCCATTAGCTTATGCACATACTGCATATATCCCCAAGCGATCTGAATTTCGAATACAAGTACTCTCAGTGCACGTTCTTTACGGCTTTGCTGCCCCTCGATTACTACATCACGAAGCTGACGATGCCGCGTCGATATATGGCCAGCTTTGTAAGCATTCCCTGCCAGAAATGCACTATGACTACCTATAATGAAGATAGCACCTTCTGTCGCATTGGACTCAATCACAAGATGATTGTGGATGAGATTGTCATAGTTACGAAACATGTGAGCCTCCTCCTGATCCTGATCTTGATCTTGATCCTACGCCTCCTCGTACGCTTTGATAGCATAACTATTTCGTGTTGATTCTTCCCTTTGCAGCCGATAGTTCTTGATTTTCTGGAGCATTTCTGTGGCAAGCACGAGACGCTGTTGAACAATTTGAAGGCCCGCTATGTCGCCGGCTCCATCAAGTGTTTTCTGCAGTTTCTGCAGGAGCCCTGGACGGAGCTGTTGACCCATGTGAATTTCGAAGACTATCAAGCCGAGAATCATAAGATACTTATGCCTATGCTACAAAATATGAGTAGGGTAAGTAAAAACTAAATGTAATTTCGGTAGTTAAAATAAGCTAAAGCAGCTCTAGGTTTAAGAATATAAATATATTTTTCCGAAGGATTTCCGTGAAAGTCCAATTCTATAAAAAGATATGATACATCTTTTAATTTTTTCTCGAATCTGAATCTCAAGATTGGGCTTCTAATGTGTGATAATATTTATCTAATTCCAGGGCCCCTCAAATCAATTGCGAGAGTTTAATCAACATATACTGGAACAAAATCTCTTAGATTTCATAAGAAAGCACCGCCAGGACTTTTGTAACGAATTCGCTCTACCTGAGGACTACTGCGCTGAGGACACTTCGGGCGGCAATTGTAAACACGTTGGTCCCGATTATAAATTTTAGATGTGAACAAATACAATCGAAACTGAGTAGTTGAATGAGATTCCACTCATACAATACAATACAAAGAAATACGAACACATATGTATTACATTTATATACTATAGTATATGTATATATATATATAGCTATAATATATATAATGGCTGAATTGGAAGAGTATGTGATACGCACGGCTAGCGTATTTGATCTAGAGCTTATTGGAACACTTTTTAACAACGATTACACCAGCCATTTTGGAGAGAAGCTAGACGCGCCCCTTTCTCAACTATTCGTCGAATATCAAACACATCGTTTTGTCGTTTTCGAAGAGAAATCGCCAAATGTGCTATTGGCCTACTGTGAGTTCTGTATATATCCCAATATACCGGTGCTGTCCAACGATTTCTGGCCGCAATGGTTAAAGTGCCGTTTCTGGTAAGATCTCTTAAATCAGGAAAAAGAAAAAAGAAGAACGAAATACTATAATAAATATATTTGATTTGCATTCCTCACAGTATCGATGTGCCCCTTTCGCTTATGAATACAATGTTCTTTAATTATTATATATATGTTCGGGAGCATGTCGAGATATTGAAACAGGTCATCATGGAGGTATTTTACTGTGAGCACAAGATCAACTATTTGATCATAGCCAGGCCACCGAACTATTCAGCCAAGGAGTACGATCTGCTGGAGGATTTTGGTAAGGTCTACTATCCAAACACCTTTGATATGTACGGATGCAGGAATTTGCCCACAATTATCATCATATCGCGCAATGACTTTATGCCAGTCATCAACTTTCGCAAGGCCCTGTAAGTAGCTAATCTAATCTAATCTCTGAATTGCTGTAATCCCAAGCTGAATCGATCTGCAGGCCTGAGGACAATGATGACGTCATCGAAATGATCGACGTTGAGGAGCCACATATGCGTAAGCAGTATGGAGACTATTATATAGCCGAGATTCTATTGGGCACGTCGGGTGGCAATATGGAGAATGATAAAATTATTGTAACAGAGGTAAAAGCGCCATCTATTGAAATCAGATTGCATGGAGAGCTGAAGCGCCAGCTAAAGCGGATATTTACCCAAGCTGGCTCTCATATGCTTTCTCAATGGTTTCTCTTTCAGGATAGTGGTCCTTCAGCTATTGGCAGTACGGGCATGATGTGGCTAACGGATGACACGGACATCGAACAGTTGATTAAGAATTTTGATTTGGAGAGTTTGGGCAATCTGGTTGCTTGTACGCCCGATGCACCGCATGCCACGGTTCAGTTTGAAGTCTTGTAAGCCAATAGAATATATCGAATTAGTTCACTTAGAATCCATTCGTATGTCCATATGCAGCACGGCGGACCAGCGACAATATTTTAATCTGAAGAAAAAAACGTATTTCGGGAAAAGAGAGATGGTGCAATTAAGCATAAAAGGAAGTACTGAAGAACCGGATAGGGAGTGCTTAAATACACAGGAACTCTATACGAAATTCAATTTCATACGCTATGGTAAGGTCGAACTGAATGTGAGCCATAAATTTAAGCCCCGACCCTTGCAGAGCTTCACAATAGCAGCAACTATTTGGACAAAAGACTGAAAACATTGAAGGTATCATATGATATACCCGCGCGCCTGCCGAAATTCAAGAAGTACACACTGAAAAATGCCTCCAGGGCGTTCGTCTTGAAGAACTTCATACTACATCCCAGTCTGCGTTTGGAGTACACCTATTACTACCTTTGCGCCATGTTCAGCGCGTATCCAAATCGCGACTACTGTCTGGTGCCCATTCCACCAGGTGCCAAGTACTCGGTTAGCCTTTGGGCACTACTCAAGTACTTTATAGTGAGTTGACTTTTGGCTTGGGAAATACCTTCGCCTGAGCTCTCATTTCTTTCTCTCGTCCTCTCTGTTTGTTTCTCTCTATCTATTTCTCTATCTCCCTCCCTCCCTCTCTCTTTCTCTCGCCCTCTCTTGACGTAGCGCGTTCAACACCGACCCAGTTGCAATGTGTCGGACGACGTCTTTGTCGCCCATCGTTCCTCGATATATACTGAGCTAAGTATTTTCCGACTCGTTAAGGAGGATCTAGATGATATTTATAGCTTATTCACATCGGGCAGTAAAATAAAGCCAGAACCGGGGGATCGCCGGTCGTTCAGGCAGTCGCATGGCCGGATGAAAAAAAGCATCCAGTTGAAGATTATCAAACAGATTTGCTCCGATGTCTTGTACAATCAAATGTCGGAGTTTAACTTTTGGGTTATACGTTGTGGCCATACGAATAGGGCGAATACCACCGCCGTTGGCTTTGCTATTTTACGGTGAGTGGGCGTGGCATTTGGCTTCTAATCACAAAATGAAGAATTCGCTCGTTTGGTTTAGTCCCTTTTCGGATTATGAGGCAGTTTATAAACAGTTTCTGTTGCCCCACGATGAGGGCTTTTTGACGTTTGATCGCGGCGAACTGGTGATGCTGTGTCTCCATCCCTACTTCCATATGTGGTCGGATGAGGTGCTGCGCACGGTGGCCGTTCGATCCGGTTTTCGGGATATTTTCTACTTTCAGGAAATCAAGGGCGACGCCATGACCAACGACTTGGCCAGCAAGATGATGCCCGTGGAGCCGCGACGAATGCGTCGCAATTGGTTCATTGATACTAGGGCCAAGGAATGCTATCGGCGTGCCTCGGATCAGGTGGATCTGTCGAAAATTAACTGCGTCATGGACGAGTTCTATCTGTTCCGTCACAACTTATTCCCCTCCAAATATATGGGCAATAAAAATTCGCTGGTCATTATCGGCTTCTCGGACATCTGCAAGGCCTTTCTGCGTCTCATGGTCTTCAGCTGGAATACGCCCGAGTACGAGCTGCATTTGATTTGTGAATCTCCCTCTCTGATTTTCTCCCGGTCTTAGCTACAAATACGTGAGTGTTAGCAATTGTCTGCCCCTGTTGGATATCACGGTGATCGTGGGTCATGGCGAAGTCGAGGCGGAGTACGATCAGACAGTCCAGTGCGAGTACTGCGTTACTCCCAACGAATGCTATTTGCACAGTGCGAACACCTGTCCCTTCGTCATGGACACCACGCAGCGGCTGGACATGCGTAACTACATTAACTTTGTCCCCGGCGAAGTGGAATCAATTATGCGGTATATATTAGTTTTCTCTAAATATTCAAATATATATATTACGTATTCGCTCTATTCTACAGTCAAGAGAAGTATATCGCTCTGGAGAGCTACTGCAAAGTCTTTTACGATAAGCTGCTGTTGCTGAGCGACACGAAGTTCGGATTCCCTGTGCAATCTGGAGGTACTGGAGGCACCGGCCTGCCCGAGAACTATATGACAATCAATAGACGGCTGGATAAGATCGAGCTCTATCACAAACTGATGGAGTTCAACAAGACCAATTTGCAGGACAAATGCATTATCGTCTATGGCCACAATTTGGCCGTCTACGAGTGCATTGATTTTCTGCTGAGGCACGGTTGTTTGTCCTCGCAGATTGTGTTTGTGGAGCCGCACAAGATTGTGCAGCCGGAGTATATCAATAATCCCACATGTGACAGCAATTTGGAAAATATCCTGATGGATATGGTCATCGATCTGGGCGTTACCGTCCATGAGTCGGCGAATTTCGAAAACTTCCATTGCTATGCTACGGCTAACTTTATAGAGAAAGTCGAGTTCAAGCGCTTTCCCAGCAAATCACAATTGCTTGTGCCCTGCCACCTGTTCATCAACTTCATGGAGAATTTCCTGCCAGCTGCATTTGAGCGAGGTGAGTTAGCATTGTTGTAGCTGGAGTTTTGGGTAAAAACTTGAAGTTTACTTTCAGTGCTAGAAGGGAGCAATATTCAGTTGCACGATCGCAAAATTGTGATCGATGAGGATTATAGGACAAATGATGATTCAATTTATGCGGCTGGCAACAGTGTCGTCTGTCTGTGGAATATCTTTCATCAGTATATATACACCAGCGAACGTGAGATGGCTCAAAAGGTGGCCAACACTGTTTTGCTATAATATCTCTTGATTTGCTATATCCGTTCGACTCACAGCTAATGGACATTTTGAATCTGGGCAAGGAGACGCTTACCAGGGAGGAAAAATTTTCCAAACCCTTTCTATTTCACGCTCAACTGCCGGAAAATCACAAGATTATCAAAGTGACGATACCCAAGCGTTATCTCTTAGCCACTCTGCCCAACGAGTACAGCCACTTCATGTGCACCTATGACGGCGACTTTTGTCGTGTGCGATTGAATCGCAAATTATTTGTCGAGGAAATCGTGTGTGTGACACGCAGGGTAAACAGGATCTCATATATATATATATACATACATACATACCTATATACATATATCTATAAATTTACAGCTGACGCGACCTCTATTTTTTCTGGAATTTTTCTGTGGGCGACATGTGACGCTGCTGAATAATGTGCACAATCGCTGGAAAGCGGGTTTGATTAAGAGTTTTATAAACTTTTTCCAGGAACCGTGGACAGAGTATATAATGCATGACCGCTTCGATGAGTTGCAGATGATAAATCATGATACTCTCAAGTCACTGTACCAGCACATAGCCTCACGTGCCCTGGGCATGAATATTGGTGATTCCGATTTCAGTGAGGCGGGCAAACATTTTCTGGAAGCGAATCTTCTCAAATTTCTGCGCGAATTTCGCGAAGAGTTTGTCAATCAATTTGCCCTGCCGGAGGATTGGACTTCGTAGATGGTTTATTCAATTTTTTGATATATCGAGGTTTCAGTCGGGCAGTTTTTTAGCTTCTCTTCAAGGTTCATTGTGGTGTGTAAATTTGTATAATTCAGAAGAATCATAATTTATTTCACAGGTATTCTAGCCTAAATATACGAAAGATACATTTTTATTGATCGTTTGTGAATTTTAGGATCTGCAGATGGTTAATTTAGAAATTTTTTTTTTTTTTTTTTTTTTTTTTTTTTTTAATATAGTTTTATTGCAGCTTTTGTCGTAAACTCTAT